ACCATCTCGTTTGCTGCTCCTGAACTTGATAAAGACACTTATGTAGAAGAGCAACCACGATTAGATCATTGTGATGTGGAAAGTATTGTTGAAGGAGCCAAATCAGTTGAGGCCACCCTGGAAATTAAATGTGACCTCACAGATCCGGCTTTGTGGCCACAAGTTTCTGCACAAATAGAATTTTTATTGTTAAAATAGGCCCTGTGCAAGTCACTAATGTGGATTTTCCAGTAGATGCTGCAGGGAGAAGGTTCTCCCCTAACTTCTACACCCTACATCTTCTGAATGGAGAAAACGTCTGCCGCTTTTAGTTGGTATATTCCATAAGCCAAAATATAGTGTTCTGTTTTTGTAGCAAATTGTTTTCAAATGTGAACTTTTCTCATAGTAAAAGTGGTTCCTCAGACTCGAAGAACATGACTGCCATCATATCTAGCCACGAACGCTCTGTCCACCATGTAAAAGCATATCTGGCTCGGAAGGAATTAGAATTGCGCCAAACGTCAGATTAAACTACTGGTGCACATCACCAGCGCCTTTTGAATAATGCTTCCTAATCTCACTATTGCCCTACGCATCATGCTAACAGTGCTCTGTTACTTCCCGATAGCGCAGCTTCTCAAAATTGAAGTTAATTAAAAATTACTTAGGCACATCTATGTCTTAACAACGTTTGAATGACTTGGCAATTCTTTCAGTGGAACAAGAAATGGCTGCCAAAATTGACATTGGAATTTTTGCTCATAGATTTGCATCTGTAAAGTTTGCCAAGTTAATCTCTTTTAACAAATTTTTGAACAAATATGAACATTCTTGTCAAAGTTGTTTTTGGTTCCTAATATATACGGTATTATATTATTCGGTAATCAGATTAATGAACTAACTATTTGTGCTTATTTAGTAAAAATTTCTGTGCTTTTTCAAAAAAGCAATTTTCTAAAAATGAGGTAAATTCTTTGGAGAAGGGGGTGGGGGGCGCCAAATTTGGTCTTTTACCTAGAGCGCCATAAACCCACGGGCCGGCCCTGTATAACGTCCTTAAAAAGTTTATACTTTTCATTAATACATAGTCACCTAAGCTACGGTAGCAAGTTCATAAGACACTTTTTTACTTTGGAGTAAGTAAAAAAGTGTCTTATAAACCTCTTTTATGCAAACTTAGAGCGTTAAATGTATAAAAAATTTAGATACATTTTATTTTACAGTTTGTGCAAAATAAAATATCTCTACCGTTACCCTATTTTATTTTATATCAATCCTATTTTAGCGAAATAAGCTAAAATTGGATTGATATAAAATCAAATCACAATTATATTATATATTTTATTGTAAAAAACGACCTTTAATGAAGCCATAACGGGCTCGGTGATAAGACAAACTGATGTCTTCTTCCTGCTTAGTTATAATGCTTAACTTTATATTATTGTTTACTTTTTAAAAAATATATATTGATGTTGCTTCTCACCCGGGAAGGACATTTATACATAATAGAAAATAAATTATATTTTGAAAGATAAAAGCTCTATGAAACTTCTGCAAGCTTCAGTTTTCAGGTGGTACAAATTGTGCATTATTTTGAAATAGAATTACTCAAATTAATAGTATTATTTGATATCATAAGAAAAAAACAAATCTGTATAAATTTGTGCAAAATAATCAAATAAACTAGAAATTGCTTATTAATTAGTCGGCGTTCTTCTAAAGAACATGAAAATAGGCTCTACAAGGCTTTATAGGAAATTTTTTTTTCAGAAAAACATACATGTAAAAACATATTTAAGAAAAGTAAGTTATTTGTTTATTCAATCTTTGAGAAAGTTTTCTGAATTCAATTTTTCCAGCAAAATAAATATAAATAATAATTTTATTATTTATTAACATTATTATTTATTATAAAATATTAATATCAATATTAACTGTTTTTTTTTTTTTTTTTAAACATCTTCGCTTCCAACAAGGCTGCAAGCAACCATTAATTGGTGTTGGAAGTTACTGGAAGGGAAAAGATGAAGATTGTAAAGCAAGATAACGATTGACAGACGACTTGAAATATTGCAAATTATATGAATCGAGAAAGCAAGATGAAGGAAGCAAACTCCAAAGAACTGATGTTAGGGGAAAAAAACGAGTTTTTAGAGCACTTAGGAACAGTAACAGAAAAAAGATGAGATTTAATTGAATGACGAGTAACACGAGAGTGAGTTTTAGTGGATGACACAAGAGACGCTAGCTCTTTAGAGCAGCGCTAATTATAGTATTTGTAGAAAAGAGAAAGAGAAGCAACATTACGAAGATGTAATAATGGTTGAAGGTTGGCTGCAAGAACAGGTCCAACTATGTTTACAATGTGTTTTTGCATCTTGTCTAAAAGAAAAAAGGCATCATTAGAAGATCCCCCTTCCCCTAGATATGGCAACAGTATTCCATACAAGGTCGGATTTGAGATTTATAGAGATAGAGAATAGAATCCAGAGTAAGAAAGTGTCGAGCTCGATAAAGAGATGCAACTTTAGCAGATGCTAATTTTGCAACGGTTTTGATATATGGTTTCCAAGAAAGATCAGAAGTAAGAGTTAATTCTAGAAGATGAAGGGTAGATGACTCATCAAGTACATTACCGTTCATAAATATAGGAAGATCTAAATTATTGCGATAACGATTGGCTGAAAAAAATTGAGTTTTATCTGAATTAAAGATCACCAGCCATTGTGAGCCCCATGCTGTAGCAGAAGTTAGATCCTTTTCAAGCTCAAATACCCTCTCCAAGCAATCAGAGAGAGTTGGGTTCTTATCATGACAAGAATAAATGATAGTATTATCAGCGAACAATGCCACCTTAGATGTGAGAATATCTGGAAGATCTTTAATGTAAATTAAAAAGAGTATAGGGCCAAGGATTGAACCTTGGGAAACCCCTGAGTTTACAGAATAAGAAGAAGAGTGCTGTCCATCGAGGACAACTTTTATACTACGATTGGAAAGGAAGGATTCAATAATCTAAAGGATATTTCCAGACACACCGTAAGTTGATAGCTTATGGAGAAGACCAGTTGCCAAACTTTATCAAACGCATTAGAAATGTCAAGAGCGATGGCCTTAACCTCTCCACCTTTATCTAATGCATGATAAAACCTATCGGGTATTACTGTTAGCGAATCAGCCGTAGAACGAGAAGATCGAAATCCATATTGATGATCAGAAAGTAAGTTATTAGATTCAAGATAAGAGATCAAGTGTTTGTTAATTAAAGATTCAAAAACCTTGCCTATGATAGGAAGAAGACTAATGGGACGGTAGTTCGACGAATCGGATCGCTCTCCAGAATTTTTAAAAACAGAGATAACAGATGCTGCTTTCCAGCAGACTGGAAAACAAGACTCTGATAAGTACTTGTTGAAAAGTTTTGAAAGCTCCGGAGAACACTTCTGCAAAACTATAACAGGTATGTTGTCCGGGCCACAAGCTGTAGAAGAGTCAAAGCAGGAAGTCACTTTAGATACAGAAGCTGGATTGATACGAATGTCAAGCGATGGATCAACCTGTTTGACTGCTATATCAGGTAGAACGCAACTAGTGGAGTCAACAGATGATAATGATGAAAAGTTTTTAGCAAACAAATTAGCTTCCTAGCTAACACAAAACGTTCAAAAACGTTCAACGAATGTTGTGAACGTTCAAGTACGTTCTATAAATATTCATTGAACGTTCTTGAACGTTTGCACCATTCGTTGAACGTTTTGTGTTAGCTTGGTTTGTCTTTAGGTGAGTTGAACGATACAAAAGTCTGAACCATACAAAAGAGGTGAAATTACAGACTCGCTCTTATTATTGATACTATTAAATATCGCTATTCTCAGGTCATGAAATACGAGATTTCATGACCTGAGAATAGTGGGCTTTGACATTAGACAAAACCTTTTTGCAATGGTTCCTAGCAGTAATAAATAGACGTCTGTTTTCTGGAGAGTTGTTTTGCTGATAGATATGGAAGTAATGGTTTCGATTGGCAATTGCAGCAGCACAATGGAGAAGAGTGAGGCTTGACCTGGAATCGTTGAGAAGGAATAAAGGATTTTATGCTAGCCTGAATCCACAAAGTTATGTAAGAAGCACATTTGTCAACAGAAAGACGAAAGATTTCTACCCAAGGGTCATCGCAAAGAAAATTACGGAAAGAATCCTAGTCAGCTTTAAGATAGATGACTCATCAAGTACATTTTTAAAAAATAAATAAATATAAAAATGTTTACGTAAACCTTTTTCCACAGTGATTTAAAAACATAATCTAGGATCTACAAAAGTTGATGAAATAAAAAAAAGAGATCTGGAACGTACAAAAGTTGATGAAATAAAAAAAAAAAAAAAAAGAGATTGGGATGCACAAAAGTTGATAAAACAAAAAAGAGAATTATGAATACAGAATAATGAAATTTGAAAAAAAACTGATAAGTTAAAAAAGTTTGTTTAAAATTAAAAATGTTTGCTACGTAAAAACTCTATAGAGTCTTTGCGTAACAAACATTTTTAACTTCAAGTAAGTCTTTATATATAAAGACTTACTTAATCAATAGAACGTCTGACATTGTTATGATTTCCAATTGCTTTACAAAAGTTTCTAGTTTGTTTCAAGGCAGACGGATTCGATTATTGTTTGGATTGTGTACATGTACCCCAAATAGTTTACCTAAACAGTTTTTTTCTCTTTTTTTAGGTATTACTTAGTTTTCTATTTTCTGTTTTATATATTTTATTAAATTTTCTAGCTTCTGTCTTATATATTTTATTCAGTTTTATAGCTTCTGTTTTATATATTTTATTAAAATTTCTAGCTTCTGTTGTTACTATTTATATATAAGTAGAAACGTTTTATTGTTTTTTTATATACATATAGTGTCACAATTCTAATGTTTTATTTGATTTTTCTGAGAATTTTTGGACGCAACATGGTTTTTTACTGAATATAATAATGATACAATAGAATATTAAATCCAAGTCATGCATAATACTAAAACTATTATTCAAGTAAGAAATATTTTACACATCGTGTTTTAAAAATAATATAATTTGAAAAACAAAAAGAATACTGCTTTAGAGTGTTATTTATAACGTCAAATAATTTATTAAAAAAATATTTTTTACAAATAAAAAATGAAGTACATGGGAAAAGTTTTAAATATATTTTAAAATGCCACAGAAATAAAACAAACAAAAAGCACAAAACACAACACACACAGAGACACACAGGCATTTGTAAATATTTGAAAAACAGCCTCTACGTTTGGAAAAAAAAATCATTTTGAGAATTATAATTGTATGACTTAAATTTCGCAACATTTGAATCTTTAAATTTTATCAAAATAAAATTTTTAATATTTTATAAGGCCTTTAAATAAGATCTTTTAATTGTAAGTCACACATAATTTGTGCGTGTGTTTGTTGTAATATATACAAACACAGACGCGGACATATATAATTCAAATAATATATAATATTTATTTATAAAATATTATTTGAAAAATGTATTTTATTTGAACTATTATATATAAATATATATATAAATTTAGTTCTTTGGTTTGTAGATTAATGGAAGAGCCGTGTTACCAAAGGTTTTGGGCGGATGACTTATTCCACCATTAATGATTTCTCTAAAAAAAGCATAACGACATTGCGTTAAAAAAAATGTTAATATTATAAATATTATTATAATATAAAACTTTTAAAAATTTTCTTTTTTGTATATTATTTAAAAAGTAACCTGCTTGTCGTTGGCAAAGGTGAAATTAGAGTGAGGGGCGGCAGGAAGTTGTATTTTTGTTGAGGAGGACTTTTTCGTTGAGAATGATTTACTGGCTCTGGATTAGCAGCTGCTGATTCTGATTGGTTAAGCATATCAAACATAGCTATTGAAACAAAGTTGATCATATGGTACAAGAAAAAAGAGCTTTTAATTTTTAAGTTTTTACTGCTAAATTTAATTTTATATTAACAATATTTTTATATTAATAACATAAAATTAAATTTAATATTTTATATTAAATTTAATTTTATATTAACAATATTTTTATTATATTTAGAATTTTTAGAATTTTTAATACGGTATGTCCAAAATTTAAAGTATTTTTATAAAAATTTTAGCCATACCGGATGTTGATTTCGTTCGGTGTCGAGTTGTATTTAAGGAAATGCCTGTTCTCGGACTTCCCGGTAATGAACGTCTTTGGATTTTAGTTGGCATCAGCTCTCCTCTCGCTGAAAGCGCAAGTTCTCCTGGAGGATTTAACAAGGCTAATTTTAGTCGACTTTCTTCTGCTTCAAGTAGATTTGATAAAGCTGCAATTTCAAGATTAATAGGAATGTTGCTATTTTTTGCCAAATTTAATTCACGCATGCTCATATCAAGATTTTCTTTCATTTTTGAAAGTTTTTCTTCTAAATGACTTATCTTGTTAACAGCAGTTTGACGCTCAATTTCAAGAACGTGGCAAAGACCTCTGTTCTGGTCTTGACTAGAACTACACTAAAGATATATATATATATATATATATATATATATATATATATATATATATATATATATATATATATATATATATATACACTGCACTAATATATATATATATATATATATATATATATATATATATATATATATATATATATATATATATATATATATATATATACATATACATATATATATATATAAGTAAATAAAGGTATATCTTCATATATAACTAAACATTTTAAAATAACATAAATCACCCTTTTTTTTTTAACATTCTTTTTTTGATTTAAATTCTTTTTTACCTCAAGAAAAGTAATTTTTTTATCTCTAAAAAATACTTCGCAACAGATAAAACAACATAAAGTCACTTACGTGAATTTATGTTATTTTATTCGTAACATAAGTTGTTATGTCTTAGTTATCTCTTAATTTGACAGTTTAAAGTTTCGGTTATTTTGATTAATTGAAACATTAATCATGAATTTCAAAGATGATGTCATTTACTCGATCACTTAAAGAATATTTTCCGCCATAAAAAATTCAGTTAAATTTGTTTGTTTGCGAATGTAACAATTTTTAATTTCTGCAAAATTTTAGTTGTTTGAATTGTCAAACAATTAAAATTTTCAAAATGATTAAAAAATAGAGAAATATAAGTGTACATAAAAAATAAAAATAAAACTTTTTCAATACTTAATTTGATTTGTTTCTAAAAGTTCTAAATCTTTTTTTTTTTTTTTTTAACGTTGTTTTTAACGTTGTTTGTAGTACTTGCTTTTTACAATGAATACCAATGTAAGTATAGAAGTGTAATGATGCGCAGGTGGTTTACATTGTATTTTATTCTGCAAGTAACACGGTGCTTGTAGAATAAAATGCAATGTAAATTACCTGTGTATTGCTACACCTCTTGTATGACAGGATGACACTTAAGTTATAGAAATAATATTACAAGTTAAAATTTTTTTAAAAAAAAGCAAAACTAAAATCATTTT